GTGGTGGCCAGAAAGCAAGGAAAGAATGTCTGAAGCTCCTCATGGTTGGGTTTGTTAACAGGATGCGCCCCATGGAAAGCATGCAACTTTCTAGCAATTGCAAAAGGGATGACCATCTGGTGTTGCCAGGCATCCACCACCGCGTCATCAGCAGACTTCGGGTTTGGAAGGGGCCTAAGAGAGTCAGCTTCAGAGAGAACAAACGCGATAGAATTGTTGCTGGTTATGTGGGTGGTGGAAATGGTTGAAGAAGCCATTGGAAAGGAAGTTGAAGAAATTTTGAAGAGCAAAGGTTGTAGGAGAGGTGAAGCGAAAGAAGAGTTGTGAAAAAGAAATCAAATATGTAAATAAGCTATTTATAGGCAAGCTGGCACACAGTTGAAAAGGAAAAAGGCGGTTCTAATTCTAAGAGTGAGGGAGAGTGGTTCAAAATCCATGACGTTGGGATGTGATCAAACATGATTAATTTTTTGGAAATCGTGGCACAGAAAGGTGTCATTATCACGTCATACTGTTGGTGACGCGTGGATGATTCGACAGAAAACAATGATAGTATTGTTGTATCATAACCAAGACGCAGTTGAAACTCCATAGAACCAAAACACCAAGTTTCTCGGTCGACAGAGTGTTCCGTCGAAACTGGGTTTTGAGGGGGCATCTTGTTGGCTGGAAGTTTCGACTAAAGAAAGGAGACACAAAGACTGACTTGTGGATCGACAGTCTAAAAAAGATGGTGAAGGAAATGAGGTGAGCCGACGCCAACAGAGTAAGGCTTGTGGGTCGGCTCAGACAGGTTCTGTCGACAAGGTCGACTGATGGGCAAGGAGACCAACGCAAAGGAGGAAAACATTTGAGCGAGAAGAAGATTTGAAAGTTGAGAACGTGGGGAATTACAGAAGTGGTGGAAGGACACGTGGCGCCACCAAATTCAACATGACAGTTATTTTATTTTTCTATTTAAGGCAATGTCCAGTTTCATGTTAAGAGGCGCATTTTGTAACATTGTAACGAAAAAACACTTTGAGTACCAAGCGTTAAGAGAAAAGAGTTCATTCCTGCAAAATATATGATTGCGTCCACATTTCCTCTTAATAGTAATTTATGTCATCAACTTTAAAAATTTATTGTCTTGTTGTTTTTGTCTTTTCTTGTTTATGCATTCATCTTTATTTAAGTTGACACAGTTTTTTTAAACTTATCTTCAACCTACTCTAAACAATATCATTCCACCATCATCCCATACACTCAAAACTATCATTCTGGGACTTGTTTGGCCGGTCCCACAAGTAAATCTGCGTTAGGAGGTCAGAGGTTGTTCTCGCGAAAAATGCGTGCGAACACTAAGCAATCACGCATGCCCTGCACTATTTAGTGTAAAAGAAGTAAAGCTGATGAACGGATTAGAGATCTTGTTAATGAGTCTGATGTTTTGGTTGTTCATGATGTCGAGACAAAAGCTCATGAATGAGGGTCAGAATGACGTGCAAGTGGGGACTAAGACAAAGACGATCGTTCATACTGAGATAGAGATTTCAACCGATACGATGGAGACGACTGCTCCAACTGATATGGAGGTGACTGCTCCGACTAATTAGGAGTTGTTTATACACACTAATGAAGGGTTTCGTAAAAGACCCAGTACTTTCACCAATAACTATACCGTATTCACGGAATATGCGGATCATTTGACATTGATATTTCTTAAACAGATTAAGTATCCATTATTACGGTGCCTTTGAAAAGAATGTCAGTATCCATTATGATTCTTTATATTTCTGCCTTTCCTTTTCTTTCTTTTTTTATATTTCTGCATTTTAAACTTCTGAAAATTTCGCATAAATAACTATTTACCGTTCATTATATTTTTATACGTAAAATGATTCAACTTAGATAATTGGACAAGAACATTCAATCAAATCAGAAAATCAACTCCCTAATATAATACAACCGTTGATCTAGTATATGATCTATGGACAAATTTAAGTACCACTTGTCTATCTTAAAAGCAAATTGACTCCGTTACTTTTTTGGAAAAGATATGTGTCTATGATGTTTTAGGCTAGAAAAGCGGTGTGACTGCCAAACTTCAACGTGTCTTTATGTCAGCGACATCTTCCCATGTCGACAACAATAACGTTTCGGTTTTATTTTTTTCCACTTCACAGTGTTGATAAGCTTTTTTGTCTTTTTCTCCCTCATACCTCAGTTGCCAACACAGACGTTTGAAAAGGAATGCAACTTTCCTCTGAATTTTGTCCTTCCATTCCATGAACCTTATTTTCTGAGTCTCATCCTCTACTCTCTCCTTCTCTCTCTTGTCTTGTATTTCCATTTTCAATAATTATGGCTGCTCTATCTTCTTTGTCATTCTCAGCAATGAACTCACAGAGAAAATCAACTCTTCCTTCTACCCGTTTCCTTGCTTCCAATTCTGATGTATTTGGAATTCGGACAGATCATTCCTCGTACCATTGTGTCGGTGTTCGAGCTGCAAATTCTGCATCTAAAATGACAATTCAATGCATGTCTTCAGTCACAGGTTTGTGCCTTTCTTAGTTTGGTTCCTAATATTTGAATGGCCTTGAAATAGTATCACATTTGGCTTTACTTATGTTTCTTCATAACTACTTGTTGTGTGTTATTTTATTTTAATTTACATTTGCATGTAGAATGTTTTGAAGCTTAGGTATGATTTATGATGGTGTAAAAAGGTTTATATTAAGTATATATAATAGAAGAAAATGAATCTTATTATATACTGCAGATGTTCCTAGTGTTTCTGAGACTAAGTTAAATTTCCTAAAGGCGTATAAACGACCGATCCCGAGTATCTATAACAATGTGCTGCAGGAGCTCATTGTCCAGCAACATTTAATGAGATACAAGACATCATACCGTTATGATCCGGTATTTGCTCTTGGTTTTGTTACTATATATGATAAATTCATGGAAGGGTATTCGAGTGAAGAAGACCGAAACACCATTTTCAAAGCTTATATTAACGCGTTGAAGGAAGATCCAGAACAATACAGGTTAGGAGATTGATTAATTGTTCTTTATTACCCTTTGCTATCCTTGATCTAAATCTTTGACTCAATGGTGTTTTATGTTACCATTTACAGAATAGATGCACAAAAGTTGGAAGAGTGGGCTAGGGCTCAAACTTCATCTTCTCTGGTTGAGTTTTCATCCAAAGAAGGAGAAGTTGAAGGGATTTTAAAGGATATTGCAGAAAGAGCGGGAGGAAAGGGGGAATTTAGTTATAGTCGTTTCTTTGCAGTAGGACTTTTTCGCCTTCTTGAGTTGGCAAATGCAACCGAACCAACAATTTTAGAGAAGGTAGCTCAATTCATTCAAGGCTTTATGCATGACTTATAACTTGAATTGTTCAAATCAATGTTTTATTATTGTTTTCCATTTTACAAATATTGAAGTCGAACCTATAAACAGCTTTGTGCGGCCTTGAACATCAACAAAAAAAGCGTTGATCGGGACTTGGATGTGTATCGTATGCTGCTTTCCAAGCTGGTTCAAGCAAAAGAGTTGTTAAAGGAATATATTGACAGGTAGATATCTAACATTTCAATGCCCTTCTGGCTTCAGTTGTTCCGTTGTTCTCATCTTCTCTGCTATCACGGCTTTTCATTTTGAATTTGGTATAAATGCAGTTATAACTTTGCTAAGTGTGTGTTTGGTGTTATGGTAGAGATCATCATAATTGATTTTAGCTCCTAGCAAACACAATTTAAAGTAAAAAAATATATATCTTTAGAAAAAAAGTTGATTTTGCTTCTTAACCTCAATTTGACTAGATGTGATAAAAAGTTACTTGCAACAGGTAAAGAAAGACACACAAACATCCTTATTTTATAGACAGATTCAACATTCTCTCCTATGTACATTTTTCAGAAAACATGAGATTACAAAACTTGTTTGTAACCAACTGAGAACTTGTCTTGAGCTTATAGTTTTATCGTTAAATTTGTGAAAATCGGGCTATTTACTTCTGAGATTACCTAACCTGATATTCTATCTGCACTATAAATATGAGTATGCTATCAATACAAATCAAGGTCTAATAGATGTGACAGATTTATAGTTACAACTTGATGGTTATTCTCAACAAGATTTTGATTCATTGAAATGTTTTTTTACTCCAGGGAGAAGAAGAAAAGTGAAGAAAGGGCGGCGGAACCACAGAAGGCTAATGGTGCCATTTCAAAATGTTTGGGGCAACAATTGTCTGTTTTGTAGCTATGGTCTTCTGAAATGATGTCCAGATGAAGATTTCTTATCCTTCAAATGGTTTTTCTTAATCCAATGAGTCGGATAAGGAATAATCAGCATGATTTCAAATACTGCTAAAACCACAATTGACCCTTCCAATACAATTTGGGCATATTTTGTTATTTTTACCTCGCAGTCACCGATTTATTTTGCAGTTCTTGAAAGAAAGCCAAAAGGCATACATTCTGACTAAATAAATCTTGTTCTATATTTCGACATGTACACTGAGTTTGACATCAATTTCATTGTTAAAATTGACATCATTAGTTATGGTTTATACCAACAAAGCCATGTTTCTCCTTTTAGAAAGCTGTATGGTGCTCTGTTCTTTTATTACAGGGCCTTTTATCCAGAGTCCTCCCTCCTCCATAGGCACGATGTGCATATTAAGAAGAGTATATTTAATTGTCAACTATCCCCAAACACTGAATTTTGAAAATTGTGTGGAAGATTTTCAAAAAGAATTATTAAAACGTACTCTCATTTTTGTCACTTCAAAAGAAACTAGAAACACCGAAACTATAACAAATCAATTATTGCATTCTCAATTCTAAATTACAATCACCATGTTTGCAGACATAACGCTGCTAGAATTGAGCAAACATGTGATAAAATTGATGGAGGCTACGACAAATAAACACACTTAAGGTTTAAGCAACTGGCTCGGCAATGTCAACAGCATAATGTTAAAAAATGGTGTAATAGGGGAAAACCTAACTGAGATGAGCAATATCTACCTCATCTGGGATCTTGAATGTTTCAGCTGCACCAAACTTTCGAAATTCATCTGCTAAACTCTCTTCATCATCGTCGTCTTCAGCATCATGATGATGAGGCGATGATGGATCATTCACACTTTTAGACTTGGATTCATGCGTGGCAAGCATGTTAACTTGGCCATGGTGCGAAATCTCTACCAAAACAGTATCATCATCAACTGGGAGAGGTTGCTTCCAAGGCTCCCCATCAATCCTCATGTATGTATGATCTGCTGCACCTTTGTGAAACTCAAAGCGGATTCTTTTTGCCTAATGAACATCATTTCAAGCCATTTTAAACTTTCAGATCAATAAAATAATAATAATTTGCACGAATGGCAAGTAAACTATTGGAAAGTATTTCAAAGAGAAAAACATGATTAAGATAAGAATGTTGTGGTCTAAGAATTTTAAATAAAAAAGAAACAAAAATATAAGCAATATTTCATCTTATCCCATACCTGAGCAAGGCGAGTTCCATGACCATTTGGATGAAGTAAAACAAGTCCATGCCAGGCATCTCGAAAACCAACAACTTCAATAAGACCATCATCTACATATGGAGGTGTAAATTCACTCTGTACTTGATCAAGTTAGCATATTTAGAGTTTTGTTTGGTGAGTTCATAATTATTACTACTTCAACTACCAGCACCTAGAGAATAAAAATTACAGGGAAAACGACTTAAATAAATTTTAAAAAAAAAATTCAGAATTAGTTATGAAATTTACATCACGTTGCCTCCTTCTATTTGGTGTACCCCATGGATTGAATCCACCGGAAAAGCTAGGCAAGTTAAGGCATACAATTGATCGGATGCTGCAAATAAAATGAAAATCAGGTAACAAACACATCAGATGTTATTCAAGCAGTAGACAATAACAAAAAGAAAATTAGATACAGAAAAATATATACGGTCATGTGGCTATAAAATATCCGTACTCAAGAAGTTGGCATTGTGATGAAGCATTAGTCATCAAATGATTAACAATTGATACAATGGTAAACGCAATGAAGTTCTGAAAATATGATTGCGGATGACTCACATGACAGTGAGCTTAGAAACTATCAAGCATAGTTATTATGTGTGTGGCTATTGATCTATGATATTTTCGAAATGTAGTTTTTGCTAGATATATGCCAATGAGCTTGTAGCTTAATAGACATAACCAAGTAGTAAGAGTTCAGTATGATGTTGATGTGGAAGTTTCAATCCTCCACTAGACTGTACTTTCCTCTCCACTGCCCAAGTTCTTACAACTTAAATATTACCAAAATAGAAAGATACAAATTCACAGAATGCTTTACCTGGAAGGTATTTCTAGATCTTCCCAATGACCATGTGTTTTCATGACTTTGACTTTTCCCATATGTGCTATGTTCCTGCAATCAAAGATCAAATTAAGCTTACTTAACTGTTTCTCATAACTACTAAATATAGAAAAAAAAAATTGCTTATGAAGGACATATGAAGATGATATTATGTGTGTAGTTGGGTGCATATGTGTGCATAATTTATCGGTCTAAACAAGTAATGAAGAATGAAAGAACTGCATAGTTAAAAGACCAGTTGCAAGTTGCAAGTTTTAATATTAACTGATTTTTAAAAATAGATTCCAGTGTCATCTGTGTATCATGGCAGATAAGGCTGTCTATAGTAGATCCATAACAGAAACAACACTCTATCACACTGGTGGGAGCTCAATAGCACCAGGCTGCTCTTTTATTTGTGTATATCACCCCTATGAACTTTCATGGCTTTACAACAAGGGCCTATATTAGATGGTTCATGAACTCACTCGAGTAAAAGGAACCTTAAAATCATAAAAGAAAAACATATAAATCTTTTGTGCAATGAATGACAGATCTAAATGAACTGACCTGGATGGAGGATGGAATAAAGAAGCTAAAAACCATCCTTGTGTGCATCCAAGCTTAGCATAAGTGCTCTGACACAATTTTAAATAGAATCAAAAAATCAATCACAAAAAAGAAAAAATGGATAATGAAAGTACATCTTGGTGGTTTGAAACTACATATTCCAATGAATAGTGAAAGAGTCAGCGGAATTGTTGAAAATAAAATTACATATTACGGTTATACAAAAACAACAATATACCTGATTAACCAACTGATTTTTGAATTTTTCGGGGTGCAATTTTCGTTCAGAATGAAATGCATAAGACACTTGAGCATCCATTCCTACAATCAAAAGTAACACATTTTACTGAATAAGCAAACTAACAACAATATATGAAATGTTTCCATCATTTTATATGCATACTTTTCACAGCTTATCTAAAAAAGTAAAGATTTATTGCTAAAGATAATTTATTGAACTTTGCTATTTAATAATTTGATATTACTCAGTAATACTTAACCAAGATTAGAGGATGTGAAACAGACAAAATTAAATATTAGTATAATGTAAAGCCAACTTAATCAACTAATTCATCCTTCACTATAATTCTTACCCATGCTGAAGTAATTCCAAAATCCACCTCGAAAAGTATGGCAACCTTTCTGAAGAACATTAAGAAACAACCACAAAAGGAAGTAGAGTGATTAGAAAAGAAGCCTGAACTTCTGTAACAAAAGATTTACAAAGAACTCCTATCACCACACAGTATACTGTGTAAATTTCATTAGTAAAAATCAAGGATAAAAGTTAAAATATGCACATGTTTTTCTGTTTGTGCTTGAGGAATACAAGGCTTGTGCTCATAATAGGTCATAACGAAAATTTCACCCCAAACGAGGTGTTATTTAGTTTCAAACCCTATATCATCTACTCGTTCTACAAATAATTGCAAAATGTAGTGCCCAGTCACCATGAACTGGATGTAGAATGAAATTACTAAATAGTGAATGGTATAGTGTCTTACTATATTAAGTTCATCTGTCTCTGACACACGATGAAAGGCATGCAGAGAATGGGGCAAATCAAGAGGTGCAATAGGTTCACAAGCACCATGTTTCGGAGTCTTCATCCGCATAAGAAGGTGCCAGCTGAGGATTTAAGAAAAAACAGAAATTATCAGACAAGTACCAGATATAAGAAATCTACAAAAATATTTGTTAAAGATCTTGAACAAAAAGTAGCCCTTAAAAATTGTCACAAATTTTCTTTGGATAAAGGAGCATTCAGAGTTTGAGAAGTCAGTAAGGGAGAAACTAAGTACTCCTTAAGGCTTAAACTATTGGAACCACTCAAAAATGCCTCATAAGAGAACATAATATAATGATGATAAAATAGTGTGAATAATGAACCAAAAAAATAATAATATTAAACAACATTCGGCATGATGGTTTGTGATTAACTACCTATATGACACCACACAAGATATCAGATTGAGATGGAACACAGAAAATGGTAATAAAATACTAAATTGAAAAAGAAATTACAGGTTTTCAATTATGATATCAATTAATTGATTTCATATTGAAGGGTTCTGCAAAATCATTCTATAACTAATATTCCTTAGAATTTCCCATTAGTAGGAAGAAATGAAACTATAAACTCATATGCGAGCTATTTAAACAGTAGAATAACTAATAAGAAAAAAGAAAAGGAGGAAAGTTCATTACTTGTCGATTTTCATTTCCTTAGCTTTCATTACTTGTTTTAGAAATGACAAAACAGATTGTTCATCGGTTCCCGGGTTTTTCTTCCCCTGCAATACAGCAGAAAACATTATGATATATGGGATCCATCATTTTATTATACTTTTCTAAAAAGATTTATTCAGTCACAGAAACTGCTGAGTACTTCCTCAACCTCAACACCACATTGAAATGCATACTAAGAACCACAATCTTTAAATTTAGGAAACCTGTTTCTAGTTAATTAAAAGGAAAAAATAAACTAGCTAATGCAAACATGCGCAAATCTCAGAAATAAACCAGCATAATATGCAAATTCTAAAACACATCCGGTCAAACAAGGAACACAAATCATGAAAACTAAAAATTCTTAGCTTCTAAAAACAAGTCATGACAGAGCCATGTTTTAAGCATACTTTTAGGTTTCATTAAAAGCAGTGTAGAAATGTGATTTCCTACCCAATCAAATGCAAATGGTAGATTATTCCCTGTGCCCAAAGGAACCGTGGCTATGGGGGGCGAATGAGATAACTTCAGATCACAAACAACTCCAAGCAACCAGCCAGCTGTTCCATCCCCTCCTGCAACCTAGAGACAAAATGCACATCAAAATCTCAAACGAAAAAAAAAATTGCATATAAAATTGAACATATGGGTAAAACATGTCAACATTATATAAATTTAAAAAATTATAAACAAAAGTTGCAGTTGCAACCATTTTGGTTCAGTAAGGCTATCTGTGTTTTGCTCCAAACAACTGAATTTCACAATCACGGCCTGTTGCGATTGCAGCAACCACAGAAATCGAAAAAACTTCCAATGTTAGTTGAAACTGAAACAGAAACAGAAACACATAAAAATGGAATTTTAACTTACAATTAATTTGAGTCTCTCCATAATCCGTATAGCAAGCGGATCACCCCGAACCTTGAGGTTTTCCAAATTAACATAGATTCTGCTCAGAACCTTATCAGGAGTCTCTTCCCCCAAATCAAAAACCTAAACAAACAAACACAAGCTATACTCAATCCTGCATAATAACAAGCCATACTCTAAGAATCCAGAAATCCAAAAATCTAAACCTGTTTATCTTTGAGAAGTGCACGGTACGTTTTCAAGAGCTCTCCACCTAACTGACCACCACTCTTAGAGTTAACAAAAACAAGCACCGGACATTTCGGTCCATCGCCATCGATCTGGCCATCCTCAACCTCAGAACCCGGCACAAGAACGTGATTCGGGATCCAAAAGTTCTTCATCAAATCGGAATCGCATGATGCCATAGTCGCATTCAGTTACAAACGATAGTAATTCAGCAACTGAAATTTAGTTACAGGAAAAGCGATTAAAGAACTAAATAAGTGATTTGAAAGCACTTGTGACGTTGACAATTAACAACTACAAATCGTTAGTATGAAATTCAGCTATTGCGATTACTGGATAAGTTAAATGGTGAAACGCGATTATGAAATGAAAATGGGAAGGAAATTTATGTGGTGATGTGATTGTGAGGCGTGATGATTGATGAAGAGGAAGCAGAATTGAGAGGGAGATTATGGAAATAATGGAGCCAATAAGGAAAAAGTGGAAAGGAGCGTCACTTTGCCAGATAAGAGTGGGATAATTTCATTCAAACATAATTCCTATTGAATCAATAAAACAAAATAAAGTTTGACTTTCTTGTAAATAATAGCATTAAATAAAGGGGACTTTTATAATAAATGATTTAATTGACAATTTTACACTTATTAAAAATAAATAAGTAAATAAGAGAATAATATTTTTATTAAAATATTATTTATTGAGTATAGAAAATAATAAAAATAATATTAATTAAAGAATAAAATTGTAAAAGATAAATATTAAAAAAGGTTTAATTGTTATACACCTGTAAAAATGTTTTATACTGTCATCTAATAAGAATATATCAATTTGTCATGTTATATAATTAGTATAATATTTTTAGTATGATTTGCTAGAATGTATGGTCGTCATTGATTGATTGATAGTGTAAAAAAAAAATACATTTTTATTGCATCACTTTTTTTATATAATTATTATTTTGTGATATTTTATTATTTCAAATAAATTATTTATTGTGCGACAGAGAAAATATAAAAATGTATAGAAAAATAACGCTTAAAAAAACTAAATGTTAGTTATTTATGTGGTATATGAATTTGAATTTCTTAAAAGGAGTAAAGGACTACGATTTAGTTCACCGCAATTGTTATAAGAATCACTTGATATTAAAATTAATTCTTAAACCAAATTAATTGATTCAGTGAACCTAATATTGATGATAAAAAAATTTAACTTAAAAAAATCAATGGATTAGATCTAATCCACATATTTAAAAGAAATCAAATTTATTTTAAAGATTTATAGTCAATTTTTTAAATTAATTTTATAACATAAAATATTTTTTATAGTATTTTAATATAGACGGGGTGTTCAAAATTATTCATAAGTAATATTTTAACTATGATTAAAATAAAATTCAATATATGCTATCAATATATATTAATTAAATTTCTAATAAAAAAGAATTTAACTCAAACATACTTACAATTTAAAAATATTTTATCTGTTTACTGTTTAAAATATTTTACTTGAATTTCACTATTAAGTATTATGTAAATGGACATCAAATAGAGGCATAAAATCTATTGTAAAGTTAAATTTTAAAGATTCAATGGATTGGATCTAATCCACATATTTAAAGGAATAAAATTTATTTTAAATATTTATTTCTAATTTATTTTAGTTTTTTAAGTATTTTTTATAACATAATATATATATATATATATATATATATATATATATATATATATATATATATATATATATATATTTCTTAAAATAAAATATATAATTAATTTTAAAAATTAAATTTTAAAAATTTTGATTTAAATAATTTTTCATCAAATATCGTTTAAGATATTTTATCATTTTGCTATGATTTGTTTACATCAAAATTTCAAAAAATTAATTTAATTTAATTTTAATTTTAATAGTTGATCATATAAATTAATGTCAGATACATATTTTTGAAAATTTATGTGATTTCGAGTGTATATATATATATATATATATATATATATATATATATATATATATATATATATATATATATATATATATATATATATATATATATATATATATATATATATATATATATATATATATATATATATATATATATATATATATATATATATATATATATATATATATATATATATATATATATATATATATTACTGGATATCAAAAATAATTTTATAATTAATTAAAAATGAGTTTAAAATAACTTTTATATTTTTTTAACTATAAAAATTGTTTTAAAAATGCAAAAAAAAAAGTAATAAATCAATTATTATCTTAAATTAGCCGGTTGATTATTTTAATGAATTATTTTAGATTAGAAAATCAATAATTTATTAGAAATAAAACTACTTTTAAATTAGTCAATCAATTATTTTAAAGAAATATGTTTTATTTTAAAGATTTATCTTAAACTAGTCAATAGATTATTTTAAAGAAATAATATTTATTTTAGATATATGCATGTATGAAAAGAAATAAAATTTATTTTAAAGAATAAATAAATTATTTCAAATTATAATACAAATGGTTAAATATGTTTTTAGTCTCTATAAATATGTCAACATTTAATTTTAGTTCCTATAAAAATTTCCTTCAAAGAATGGTTATCATAATATTTTTCATCCACACTCTTGGTCTTTCCTATTAACGGCGGTTAACAGAAGCTGACATGGTATGCTATATGAATTTTGTTATGACGTGGCATACACATAACAATGTTAGAGTGGCAAAAAATACTGACATGGATGTCCCGTGGCAATTGTTCTCATTTTTATTTTTTATATTAACATCATACCTAAACCCTAAAATGGTAGTTAATCTGCAAATAATTCCTAGCTAATCCTTCGCAAATTTAAACACACAATTCTAACTCATTGTTTTCATGCATGTGATTACTTCCTAGTTACTTCAAATTTCACTTTACTTCTCCTTTGATCATTTTAGTTACTACTACCAGTTAAGACATGCATACATTATTAATCTTTATAATATTTTTAAAAGTGAAATAAACAGCTATATATTTAAATACTCATTTGTCGTACCTCGAAAAATAAGAACACGACCTCGCGAAGTTTAATCACACGCTCGCGAGATGGACTTTACAGAGTCGCCATCGAACTTTATTTATTTCCATAGGAGGAAAGGAAAAATATCGAATAAAACCCTTAAAAGAAAGACAAGGATATAGTTATCCCAACCAATATCAGGTTTCAGGATTCGGTTACGCAAGGGGAAAGTATTAGCACTCATCACGTCCGTTGCACTTAACGAAAACCATTTGATGAGTTGTGGATATTAGTGTTAATTAAAATGCTAGGTTTCTCCAGTTATTGAAAGGGAAGAGGATAGGACAAAAGGTTTTTTTATTAGGGTGCAAAGAAGAAAGGGACATAAAAAAGGTTTTTATTATTAAGGAGCTGACAAGATTTCGCAATTATGCTTCTTTGTATCTTAATAAGGAACTCAAGGCACACGTAGTTCTGGGTTGAAAATGTTCATTTGTTGGTCGATTTTAACAAAAGTTATCTTGTATTAATTGACGGAAACATTGTTTTAGCCAAAACAAGTGAGGAGCGGACGCTTGCATCACATTAAATGGATTTGCAAATCATATTCACGGAAAAAGGTCGCTTATCTCAACTCAACGGTTGCAGATGAAGAATTGTTTTGCATCATCTTAAGACAAAATGTCTTTCGTTTTTTAAAATCTTTTTAGGTTGTGCCAAAAGGAAAAAAGGTTTGAATGGATTTAGTTTGTTTTTAGGGTTTGAAAGTGAGTATTTATAACTTGCAAGTTCTTGGGGTCTAATACTCGGGACAACGTCTGGACCTTTCACTCAAGTAATCTTTTTCTTTCAATTTATTATGAAAAGTATTTGAATATTTACAAGTATTTTGAAGGGAAGACGAATTCTTATGGCTTGCAAGCTCTTACAACTTGGGCCTAGCATTCGGGACTACATCTAGACCTTTCACACAGGTGGTCTTTTTCTTTCAATTTTATTAAGAAAATAATTTGAAGTTAAATTGAAAGATCAATGGAAAATTGTGTGAAATTGTTTTGAACTTGACTAAACATTAGTGAAGTTAGTGCGCTGATTAATTACATACGGGATAGTATGGGTATAAATTACTTAATTAAATGACTTACACACAATTAAACAAATAAGATCACTTAGCAATTAAAAAACAGATAATTCATTAAATTCTAATCAACTTATCAAATAAAAATTTAGTCAAACAATTAACTAATGTATTAAATGATTAACTTACCACAATAAATAAAATAAAGTAAAATAAATAATAACATCAAACTAAAAATAACTATAAAAAAACATAAGAGAGAGAAATATAAATTCAAATGGAAGAAAAAAACACGGAAAGAAATATACAAAATAAAAAAACAAAAAAAAAACCTACTACTAATGAGGATGTAGCGCCCCATTTAACCTACTACTTACCATCAACAAAAAATTTAAAACCCACTAACAACATTGTGACACTTGTCATTGCTCTCTTCTTTTAAAAAAATAAAACAATAATAAAATAGAAATAACATGCAGGCAACAATATCAGTAGGATAGGAACCATCAACGCAACACTCTTATCTTTTATTTCAACGTAATTGTAACATGCCGAGAGAAAAAATACCAAAAAAAGAAGAAAAAAAGTCATGTTCTCTAACTAGCTTCTCTCTTCCACTCGTTACTCTCTGTTATCACCAACAACGTAATTTTCACATTGACATGATGGTGGTGGTTGAGACTCTTTCGGTGAAGGTAGCGGTCGTAAGCATGGTGTTATTTTGAAGTGTAAGCGAGAGTCTTGTTGGTGGGTGTGTTGGAGGTTGCGCGTGGTCGTGATTGAGAGGAGGAAGTTGTTGTCACTGTGTTGTTGTAGAAACAGAGGTTCAGTTTGTTGAAGGTGGGTGATGAAGTGTTTTAATGGTGGTGTTACGGTTTGTGATGGCTTGTGTTGTATCACGTTATCGATTTGTGTATGATGGAGGTTCCAAATTTTTATGGTGCAAGGAAGTGATGATGCTTATTATGGGGTTATATCAAGGTGGTTGTTTATGTTTGAGTAGTGGTATTTGTGGAAAGAAGATGAATGGGATGGTGGAGCAAGATGAGTAGATGGGGGATGGAATTGGCTTTGTATCGGTTCCAAA